TATTGATCAAATTGAATTTAATCTTCTATTTTTATTTGGACATTTTATAGCAAAATTTTAGAGTATCAAGTAACTAAAACATAGCTTACTAATGAAAAGTTTCTTTTAGTTGCATTCAAGCCATCTTACACTAGTGGTTACCCATGTAACAGTGTCATAAATTCTTCAGGGTAATTGACAGGATAATAAATTAATGAGAATGCCATGCTATGCTTAAACATTTTTTCCATTCTTTTTTTTTCATCATTACAAATATTTATTATTTCTTTGCGATGAGAACATTTAAGCTTCTCTCTTTAAACCATTTAAAAACATGCAATGTTATTGTTAATTATAGATTCTGAGTACTGCTGTATACCAGTAGAAATTATTTTTTCCTATCTAGCTTTAACTTTATGTCCATAAACCAACCTCACACTATCCCCCCTCTTTCCTCTCCTTTCCCACCTCTAGTAACCACAGTTCTAGTCTCTACTTTAAAGGTAAAACTTATAGGGCTGGCCTGTGGCTCACTTGGGAGACTGTGGTGCTGATAACAACAAGGCCACAAGTTTGGATACCTATATAGGGATGGCTGGTTAGCTCACTTGGGAGAGCATGGTGCTGGCAACACCAAGTAAAGGGTTAAGATCCCCTTACTGGTCATCTTTAAAAAAAAAAACAAAACTAAATAAAGGTCCAACTTATTATTTTTCATTTTAGCTCCCACATGTGAGTGAGAACATGTCATATTTCTCTTTCTATGCCTGGTTTATTTCACTTAACATAGTTTTCTTTTTCTGCAGTTCATTGTATAGAAATGCTACTGATTTTTGCATATTGATTTTGTATCCTGCAACTTTACTGAATTTATTCATTGATTCTAAGAGTTTTTTGCTGGAGGTTTAGGTTTTTCTCTATATAAGATTATATCAGTTGCAAACGGACAATTTGATTCCTCTTTCCAATTTGGATGACCTTTATTTATTTCTCTTGCCTAGTTGCTCTGGCTAGAACTTCAAGTACTATGTTAAATAAAAGTGGTGAGAGTGGGCATCCCTGTCTTGTTCCTGTTCTTAAAGGAAAGGTTTTCAGCTTCTCCCCATTCAGGATGATGTTAGCTGTGGATTTGTCATATATGGCCTTTGTTGTGTTGAGATGCTTTCCTTCTATACCTAATTCGTTGAGAGTTTTTAATCAAGAAGGGACGTTGAATTTTATCAGTTGCTTTTTCCGCATCTATAGACATGGTCATATTTTTGTCCTTCATTTTGTTGATAGGGTATATCACATTTATTGATTTGTGTATATTGAACCATCCCTGGGATGAATCCCACTTGATCATGGTGTATGAATTCTGCTTGCTAGTATTTTGTTGAGACTTTTTGCATCTATGTTCATCAAGGACATTGGCCTATAGTTTTTGTTGTTATGTCTTTGTCTGATTTTCATATCAGGGTGAAGCTGTGTTCATAGAATGAGTTTGGGAGAATACCCTCTACTTCGATTTTTTGGAATAGTTTGAGAAGAATTGGTGTTAATTCTTCTGTAAAAATTTGGTAGAATTTAGCAGTGAAACCATCTGGTCCTGGACTTTTCTTTTTTGAGAGACTGCTGATTACTGATTCAATTTTGCTGCTCATTATTGGTCTGTTCAGGTTTTCTTTTTCTTCTTGGGAGGTTGTATGTGTCCAGAAATTTATCCATTTTCTCCAGATTTCCAAATTTGTTAGGTATAGTTTTCATTATAGTCTCTAATGAGTCTTTGTATTTCTGTAGTGTCAGTTATAATGTAATTTTGGTCTTCTCTTTTTATTTCTTAGTCTAGCTAATGGTTTGTCAATTTTGTTTATCATCTCAAAAAAACCCAACTTTTTGTTTCTTTGATCATTTTTATCTTTTTTTTTTTTTTTTTTCTATTTCATTTAGTTCTGCTCTGATCTTAATTATTTCTTTCTGTCTACTAATTTTGTTGTTGGATTCTTCTTGCTTTTCTAGTTCCTTGAAGTAGAATGTTAGGTTTGAAATCTTCCTACATTTCTGATTTAAGCATTTACTGCAGTAAACTTCCCCCTCAGTACTGCTTTTGTGGTATGCCATAGGTTTTGGTATGATGTACTTTTATTTTCATTTGTTTCAAGAAATTTTTTGATTTCTGTTTATTTTTTTCTTTGAATATTGGATGTTCAGGAATATGTTGTTTAATTTTCATGTATTTGTATGGTTTCCAAAGTTTTGCTTGTTATTGATTTCTAGTTTAATTCCATTGTGGTCTGAAAAGACACTTGATATGATTTCAATTATTTTAAGTTTGTTGAGACTTGATTTGTGGCCTAACCTGTGGTCTGTCCTGGAGAATGATTTATTTGCTGATGAGAAAAATGTATATTCTGCAGTTGTGTAGATGTCTGTCAAGTCCATTTGGTCAGTAGTGCAGTTTAAGTCCATTGTTTCTTTCTGGTGTCTTGTCTCGATGTTCTGTCCAGTGCTGAGAGAGGGGTGTTGAAGTTCCCAGCTATTAACCGTTTTGGTGGTTGCTATTACTCCCTTTAGTTCCAATCATATTGGCTTTATATATCTGGGTACTCCAATGTTGGGTGCATATGTATTTACAATTGTCCTATCCTCTTGTTGAGTTGATCCCTTTATCATTATATAATGTTTTCCTTTGTCTTTTTTTTTAAAGTAGTTTTTGTTTTAAGGTATGCTTATCCAATATAAGCATAGCCTCCTGCTCATTTTTGGTTTTCATTTGCAAGGAATGTCTTTATCAATCCCTTCACTATTAGTCTATGTGTGTCTTTAGAGGTGAAGTGAGTTTCTTGTAAGCAGCTTATAGTTGGGTCTAGTTTTTAATCCATTCAGCCAGTCTATAACCTTAAGTTGGGAAATTAATACATTTACACTCAAGGTTGTTATCGAAAGGTATTTCCTTACTCCTGATATTTTATTAGTTTTTTATGTTTGTTTTATATATCTTTTATTCCTTTCATTTATTCCTTATATTGTTTGTCGTTGCAGTTTTTTCTTCTTTAGTAATAAGATATGATTTCTTTCTCATTTGTGTATCTCTTCCAGCAGTGAGTTTTATTCTTTTGTGTGTTATTATGATAGTAGTTATCATTCTTTTGCTTCCATGTGTAGGACTTTCTTTAGGATTTCTTATAGGGATAGTCTTGAAGTGATGAATTCCTGTAGTGGTTGTTTGTCTGGGGAGGACACTATTTCTCCTTCATTTCTGAAGGATAGCTTTACTGGGTATAGTATTCTTAGCTGTCAGTATTTTCTTTGAACACTTTGAACACTCTCTCCTGGCCTATAAGGTTTCTGCTGAGAAATCTGCTGTTAGTCTGATGGGAATTCCCTTCCAGGTGACTTGGTGCTTTTTTCTTGCTGTTTTTAAAACTCTCTGTTTGTCTTTGACTTTTGACAATTTGACTACTATGTGTCTTGGAGATTATCTTTTTGGGTTAAATTTGTTTAGAGATCTTTGATCCTCTTGAATCTGGAAGTCCAAGTCCAAACTGGGAAATTTTCAGCTATTATTTTGTTAAATAGATTTTTTTATGCCTTTTCCTTTCTCTTCCTCTTCAGTAACACCTGCTTAAAGTTTTCCCATAGATCTTGTGACTTTCTTCATTTTTTTTTAAATTAATTTTTCTTTTGTTTTGTCTTACTAGGTTATTTTAAAAAGCTTGTCTTCAAGTTCAGAAATTTTTCTGCTTCATCTGGCCTGTTGCTTAAGTTCTCTGTCCCGACCCACGGGATATTCAACGCAGACCCTGGAGGGGGGAGTGGGAATGGGAAAGGAGCAAGAGACGCAAGAGATGGGAGACAAGACAGTATTCTGATCAAGTCTCGTTTATTGGCTCTAAGGTTACATCTTATATAGGAAAAAGCAGGCATATTGTAAGGAGTTAGGAATGCAGGAATACGATAAGATCTTGAGAAGAAACAAAGTCAGAAAATCTCTGATGCAAAGAAGCCCCCAATCTTTACAAGAAAGCAGAAACTTGAAAAGAAATGAAAGGTCACTCTTGAGTAAACTTGCATAGCCAGGAACACAGTGCTCCAGGCACAAACAGATTATGAGGCAAATATCCCGTAAGCACAGACATCTGGCACAAGCAGATTGTCACGTGGGCTTGGTCGCACAGGAACGGGTGCAGGGCCATAGGCACACAAGAAGGGGTGTGGGGCTACAGGCTCCCGACAGCTCTCAATTATATTTTTTATTTTGTTGAATGAGTTCTTTAGTTCTAAGGTTTTTGCTTCGTTCTTTTTCTTATGATATCTATCTCTTTGTTGAATTTCTCCCTCACATTCTGGATTGTTTTTCTCATTTTGTTGTGTTGTCTCTATATGTTTTTCTACCTCATTGAGTTTTCTTAAGATTATTGTTTGAAATTCTTTTTCAGGCATTTCATAGATTTCCTTTTCTTTGGAGTCTGGTACCAGCGAATCATTGTCATGTTTCATGTTTCCTGTTTTTTTCATCTCCCTATGTTGATGTCTGGGCATCTTGTGGAAGAGTCACTTCTTCTAATATGCTGGAATAG